TGGTTTTTAAATCTCTTTCTCAAATGCTGTTTTTATTGTAATTATGTAAAGCACTTTGAAATGCCTTGCTGCTGAAATGTGCTATACAAATAAAATTTGATTGATTGATTGATTGATTGTTGTCAAGCTGAGTTTCCCCCCCCCCCCTTTTTCTCTCCAACTGTAACTGACATTATGGTCAAACATTTAAATTTTGGTTTCATTAAGCTTCAGGGTGTGTTTCCAAATGTTAATGATTTTATCCCCGAGACTGTTGAGACCGCGAAGTGTTCTTTTGTTTAAAACAGCTTTTTGAATAAAGGCAGGCTTCCAACTCTGAGCTTTACCTATTGGGTGTTACCGGACATCGAATCGCGCGAACACACACACTATGTCCGATGAGAGCACAGTTGCAAAAAAAGTGAAGAAAAAGAAAAATATGGGATAACTTCGCCGAAACACGTTGTTTGAGTTTTCACGGTGTCTGTAGTTCTCTATAGACTAGAGCACCGAACAAGCGCGTGCTGCGGAGCAGGGAGGAGACTTTGAGGGAACACAATCTTATGGGGAAACGCGAATGGTCGTAACACCTGTTAATAAAAGCAGCCTGGCTGTGCCTCATCCCCATGGAGCCATGTTACTATCTTCATCAGTTTCAGTTAATTTCTCAATTCTCAGTTCTTCTTCTGGTTCTTCTCACCATGAACTGAGCGACTGCGGCTGCCGCGGTCTTTGTGCTCCGTCACACTGGTTGGCCGATCCCGTCTTAACTATCTCAGGTGGATCAGTCATCGTATTAGTGGGCGGGGCTTATGTGACGTCACGTTTTTTGCACGTTTGATTGTTTTGTTCATAGTTGCCACCAACAATAGCAGCATGGATGATGCTTTGTTGTTTGAGTGAGTTGGAACACTATTGTGATTTATGACACGTCATGTTGATTTTCATCACCCATAATAAACTTTAATGATTTGCTTGTGTTTTGGGGAAAGTGTGGAGCAGAAGGGGAAAGGAAGGCCGTTCTTTTGACATAAAGGGAATAATAATAATAATAATAATAATAATAATAATAAATACATATTTGCATCTGTAGCA